CGAGACACTCAAGGGAGGGTATTATGCTAAGTGAAATTAGAGAAAGACAAAAATCATATGACTTCATTCATATGAGGACTTCAAGAGACAAAACAGATGAACATAAGGGAAGGGAAATAAAAATAATATAAAAACAGGAACGGGGGCAAGACAGAAGAGACTCATAAATATGGAGAACAAACTGAGGATTATGGGAGGGGTTGTGGGAGGGGGGATGGGCTAAATGGGTCAGGGGCACTAAGGAATCTACTCCTGAAATCATTGTTGCACTATATGCTAACTAATTTGGATGTAAATTTAAAAACAAAATTCAAAAAAAAGATGATTGCTATGACTTCAATCTTCTTGAATTTGTTGAGTCTTGATTTGTGGGCTAATATGTTATCTATTCTGGAGAATGTTCCACGTGTACTTGAAAAGAATGTGCATTCTGCTGTTTTAGGATGGAGTGTTCTGAATATACTATTAAATACATCTGGTGCAGCATCATTCAAAGCCATCATTTCTTCATTCATTTTCTGTTTAGATGACCTGTCACTTGATGTGAGTAGGGTGTTAAAGTCCCCTACTATTATTCTGTTATTATCTAATAGTTCTTTAATATTTGTTATTAACTGTTTTATGTATTTGTGTGCACCCATTGGGGTGCATAAATGTTTACAATTGTTATATCTCCTTGTTGGATTGTCCCCTTTATGATATTATATGTAATTATATATAACCAATATATAATTATATTAGTATTATATAAATATGTTTATTAATATCATTATCATATTCCTTCTTTTTTTCTTATTATTTTTCTTTTTTTAATGTTTATTTATTTTTGAGAGCAAGAAGGACAGAGTATAAGTGGACAAGGGGCAAAGAGAGAGAGAGACAAAGAATCCGAAGCAGGCTCTAGGTTCTGAGCTGTCAGCACAGAGCCTGGTGCGAGGCTTGAACCCAAGAACCGTGATCACGACCTGAGCTGAAGTCGGACGCTTAACCGACTGAGCCACCCAGGCACCCTGCAAGTGCACAAGTCTTAATTCAATCTGGATGAACAGCAGTTAGCTGTCTTATCATCTATGTTTTCTAGCAGATTTTTTGCCCTTGCAGCCAGACTTGCAGGCAAGCAATGGGGAAAAGTTTGGGGCACCTGAGGGAAGAATTTATATTGCCATGTTTCCTTACCAGTGAGGTGCCAAACCCATCTATACTATGATCTGATTTCACCTTCTACCTGACATTTCCACATGTTAGCTTTAGCCTACTTTAGCACCTTGACTTTCATACTGTCTCAATCATGCAGCCATTAAACCAACATTTAAATAACTTAAAATCGGGGCACCTGGGTGGCTCAGTCGGTTAAGCATCTGACTTCGGCGTATGTCATGATCTCAGTTTGTGCATTCCAGCACCACATCGGGCTCAGCTGCTGACAGTGTGCAGCCAGCTTGGGATTCTCTTTTGCGCTCTCTGTGCCCCTCCCCCACTCACGCTTTTTTCTTTCTTTCTCTCAAAATAAATGCATAAACTCAATAAATGAATACATAAATCTAGATATTGATTCATAAATAAATAACTTAAAATTCACAATTCACACCAATGTGGTGATGAAGGGGAAAGTCTTCACCTCTTGAATCTGATAGAGTTCTGAATCTTGGTTAGGGCTCTATTTCCACCTACCCAAAGAGACTCCAGTGACAGAGATGTTAAGGAGGGCTGCCCATCCTTCACAGCAAGAGAGACCCCAGCCCTGGCCTTCAGGGCAGGCAGGGCTAACACCTGAATTAGGAGACTGGGGGGGGGGCACCCTCAGCAGGAGCAAGCACTGGATTATTGCATCATCTCCCACTAATGTCTTATTTCATTCCTACTTGAGTTTAGGAAACCACCCAGCCAATGACTCATAGTTCTTTTTTTTTTTTTTTTTTTTTGATTCATAGTTCTATGCAGACATTCCTCCCTAGTTGTGAGTGTATGACCAAGAGCCACTGGCTCTCCTGGGCTTTTGTATGCTGACCCACACTGCAGCTTTTGGAGTCGGCAGCCTCCCTAGTGACATGAGCCAAGCCCTTCTTATCTGTCTGTCTACACCTCATACTGGTTCTATTTGTCAGGGGAGCTCTGACTGAAATAGGAGGGTAAGGAAGACTGAATGGAAGGTAGTATTTGTGCCCCGCTTTCCTGAGTTCCAGGCTGTTGGCCCATGTAATCCAGAACACCTGACAGAGGAATGTGCCAGAACACAAAGCCTAGAGGCATGATGGTGAGGACCTCAGGGTATTTGTTGGAGGGTAAGAAATGGGATGGGAGGCTGTGAGGGAAATCCCTTGGCAGCCATGAGTTTGGAGCAGGAAAGTATTTGGGCACACGCACGTACACACATACACACACGCACATACATACACGTGCATGCATGCACACATGCACCCCCCCTCCCCCACCCCACCCCACCCCCTCCACACACACACACACATACACGGCTTGGAGGGCGATCTCACTGCAAAAGAGCTGATTCAGTTGCCTGCCCTCTCCTGCACCAAAGTGAGGGTCGGGCTCCGTAGAGATCAGTGTGCACAGCTCCGATACGGGACTTAGCGGCTTTCCTGTCCACGAGGCCCTGGGCTGGCCATGCTGAGGACATGGAGGAGACAGAAGCTGCCGGAGCACAGAGTCCGAAGGGAACAAAGAGGGAGGACCCGCCTTGAAAAAATGACCAGGCTGTGTTCCGAGTCACTTACCTTGTCACATCAAATTCTGAAACACGAGTGTTCCTTAAATTCCCATTTTTTGGAACGATAAAAATTTTTGAAACGGGCCTGAACTATAAAGAAGTTGCGAGTCCTGTACAGACGCTTCTCTTCCTGAACCGTATGACAGTAAGCGGTCACACCAATGTCCTCCCACTTTTCGTGATGTCCCCTGATGCCACACACTTTGGGATGTATTTCCCACCCACCGGGACATTCTCCCACATCACCACGGATCATCCCATATTGAGTCAGGGCCCCCGACCACCACCTCGTCCTCAGACTCTGCTTCCAGTTGTTCCAACAGCGTCCATCATGGTCACAGACAGGGATGGACTTAGGCATTTTCCATTTCCTGGGTGTGCTGAAAATGGGGGTTACAGAGTTTTATGTGCCTTTTTGGTTGATTGCTTTAATTTTTACACGTGGTAGAGAGATTTAGATTCACGAGGCCACTGTTAGGGGATGTCAGCCAGATGTCCTCAAATATACATTTGAAAGCTGTGTTCCCCTGGTGTTCAGGTCTGTCTTTGTATCACTTTGGAAAGTACTTCCGATTAGTCTTAAGCAGAGAGAAACAAATCTCTTAACATGGTGCATATGTTGTACTTCACTCGGATATCATATTGCTAATGGTTGCTACGGCACATAACACCGCAGCGAAAACACATACATCTCCACGCTTTTTGGTCTCCGTGTTTTCCAGCCTGGAAGGAACACTGGGATTGCCGTGCAGTGGGCTGAACATCAACTACTGTCTGGACGTGGTGAAATAGAGGGCAAATGAGTGATTCCATTTATACTCCTACCAACACCTAAGAGAACTCGTGTTAGTCTATTTCCTGTCCACTTGCTATAGATATATTTAGGATGTTGTCAAAAAGTAAACCAATAATAAAATAAAATTTTGTCCGTTTGATGCCTATGTGGGGCCTCCCATTGTTATTTGTGTTATCTTGATTATTGAGGATGTGTTCAATGATTTCATAGGCTTATTTATCATCTGGAACTTGCTCTAAGCCCTTGCACAACTCTTAGAATGACTTATGTATCTGTAGGAGCTCTTTATATATTCTGGATACCAATCCTTTGCTCATGGAAGAATAACTTAATTTTTAGAAGCAGATCTGTTTCTGCCAGGAAGATTCACTATGCACTGAAGGAGGTGACTCAGCGGGGGAGAGACGACAGGAGAGTCACTCCTGTAGATGGGGGATCAGGGGAAATCAGAAAGATTCTCGATTACTTCATATTCAAATGTTTGTTTGCAGTTGGCATGTTGGATTTGCATTGTTTGCACTGAGACCCACAGATGGCTCCTTGAAATGTGATTTTTGGAGTGAGCCTTAAATTCTCTGCTTCCACAAGAAATCTACCAGAATCACCAGTTATATTTACCCCACAAAGCGAGGAAGAGCAAGGAGTTCTTTAGGGGATAAAACACAAATTCCAAGTTAACTACCATTTTTATTACAGTGATATTTTATTTAAATATATTTACATAGAAATTACTGAAGAGAACTATCACATATATATTGTTCTCTTTAGACATCAATGAGGTCATTTATCAGAAAAAAAAATCCCTGAGTTTCCATAACTTCAAATGATATTTTTTGGCACAAGTGTCTGCAGAACAAGGCCAAAGTGCATAGAAGAATCTGATATTCCACAACCAAAGGACGAGATGGAAAACGTTCTCTTTGTTGAGATTCCTTAGTCAAGCATTTAAACATTTCAGAGCAAGAATTCCATCACTTTGGGGCGCCCGGGTGATTCAGTCAGTTAAGTGTCCGACTCTGGCTCAGGTCATGATCTCAGGGTTCGTGAGTTCCAGCCCCACATCGGGCTCTCTGCTGTCAGCGTGGAGGCTGCCTCAGATCCTCTCTCTCCCTCTGTCTCTCTGCCCCTCCCCCGTGCATGCTCTCGCTCACAAGTAAAGAAACATTTAAAAATAAATAAATAAAATGATTCTATCACTTAGTATCAAAAGAAAATGAAATAACATACTAAGGAAAGTGCTAAATAAAAGTGCATTCCCCAAATGCATGAATGGACATGG